AGTGATCCGAAGACAACATCCGGTCTTTTAATTATAGTCAGGAAAGAAATGCCGTATTTCAAGGAATAAAATATTAAAGGAAAATACTTAAACAAACTCCAAAAGTATATTTCAGCAGTTCACCCAACCAGTGTAAAGTCGGAAAGAGCTTATTCTGCAGCAGGTTTAATTGGCACAAGGTACAGAACAATTTTAAACGACGAAACATTAAATGTAATGTGCTTTTTAAGAGTTTACTTCAATAAACAATTTATGCTCCTTGAAAAGAATTGACTATATTAATTATTTTTATTTTAAAAATGAAGTTTTCTTTATGTTTATGTTTGTTTAATTTAAGCCTTTAGAAAAAAAACCGGTAAATTACCGGCAACCCGGTAATAAATTTTTTTACCGAATTACCGGTTTTTTAAAATATCTGTAAATTTACTAGCACTAGGTATAAATCATTTTAAATTCTTATATCTATATTTGGGTATTCTAATTTTTAAATTTACTGGAATGCAGATAAATCTAATAGATTCTTAAATTTTAACAGGCCAGGAGAAATCTCTTCCTTTATGCAAATTAGTCCCTTTTCCAGTTCTTAATAAAACTCAAGATAAAAAGGCAGTCATGTTGATCCATGAACAACAGGAAGTGCAGCCGCGAAAGCGTGTTGATTCTCTACATAGTTCAAACGACCCTCGTGATTAGCCAATGTTCAAACGACCCTTGTGATGACTATGATGAGCCTAAATCAAACAGTAATCAAAGCAAAAAATGATTTCAACAATCCTGCTAATTGGAGCCGTGACAACTTAGAGTTGATCAACCATATTTTGTCAAATCCACTCAAAATGAATATTAAAAAAATGGAGTTCTCATTTTCAGAATTCCATGATTCTAGGAGCAAACTTTATCGTACTCATTCAGACCTGTTCTTTAGAAAGGAAACACGATAAGCTTCAGTTTTCAAAAGAAAACGGAAGCATGTATTGTGTACCTTGCTATTTTTTTGAAAAATCAAAGAGCACCTAATGTGAAAAAAAGAGAATTCCGGTAATATATATATATACTTTTTTCAAAATTTAAAATAATTACATATTTTATTTATTATTTATTATCAGAAGATTATCATTCCGCAGATAAAGCAAAATCTAGAGTCGATACGCAATGGAAACTTTATTGTATTTATTAAGCTATTAGCAAAATTTGAAAGTTTTAGAATTTATAGATAATATTCGTTACTAACATGTTATACTACACTTTTTTTAATTACTTAAAAAATAATTTCTTAGCAAAATCAAATTTGCAAAAAAAGTTTTCAACCATTGTTGATTCTACTCCCAATGTGTCACGCTGTTCAGTTAAGCGGTTCTTAACACTTCCAAGTTTCTTAACATTTCCAATCGTTTTGAGAAAATTATTTTTGTATGGGATATTCAATATTTAAAATTGCCGAGGCCAGCCATACGGAAATGGCAATAATATGTCTCGAATTTACTTTGTTTTACAAGCAAGAATTAAAAAGATCAACGTTTTTGTTGAACACATTCCATGTGCTGCTCACTGTTTTAACCTTTTAGGAGTGAGTGCGGAATCCGACAGAGATGCTGTCAATTTCTTTAGTTTTCTTCAAGAATTTTATAATTTCTCTTCTGCATTAACTCACAGATGGGAGGTCTTGAAGTCGAAATTCCCTGCTGGAATATATGTTAAGGTTTTCAAGACTCTCTCTAACAAACTCATTAGTCAGCTCGTGCTGAATGCTCGTGCTGAATGCTTAGCCTTTGAAAAGGGCTGTTCTATTTACAAGGTAATTAAAAATTATTTAGGAAATCAAATAAAACATTTTTTTTTAGATTATGCATACTTATTAACAAATGTTTTTATTTAAATGCGGCTCTTCTTGATCTTAACGACGATCCTCAGAAAGTAAAAACAAGAGGTCTTTGGACTTTTATCCAAAATGAAGCAACTTAAGACAGCTAATTTAAGAATCATGTGGAACAGAATCATGGAGAGGTTCAAAAAGGTTAACAAGAAACTGCAGTCTGTCATACTTAATTCAGGTATGGTTGAAGAACTGAACAAATCCCTGGAGCATTACATGCTGCAAAGTTGCTTCTATTTCGAGCAATATGAAAAGGAAGTCGTGTCTTTGGTGAAAACGAATAAATATGCCTACGACTAAAGGAACCCAAGAGCACGCAACAGGCATTAAGATGAAATTAACAGTGTGGAAACTACGGTATTTTCTGGGCAATCTAAAATGATTGCCAACTTTAATGAGATCACGGACAAACTAATTAGTAACCTAGATAAATGAAAGAAAGTCGATTGACCTATCTGTTTGGTTTTCTTGTGAATCTCCGCAACATGGATATCTCGAAGATTACTTGCAGTGCGCAAAAACTTATTAAATGAATGTTTTCATTTTTACATTCTTTAACATTGACGTAGCTCTTCAAATCTTCTTGATCACCGCTGCAACAAACTGTTCGTTCATTTTCTATATTGAAAAGGATTAAAAGTGTTTATCGCTCAACAACAGGTATATTAGGGATGCCAATTTGAACTTTTTTAAAAAAGTTTGAACTCGAACACTTTTGAGCTATTTAGGAAAAAAGTTGGAACTTTTTCGAACTTTTATAATAGTTTTTAATTATTTAAAATTGAAAACAAAAAAGTGCAAGTTAAGTAAAAAACTTTTAATTTATTTTATTCGGAGACTTTTTATTTGTTTTAAAAAAGTAAATACAAGGTTTTATCCTTCAACCAGTTCTTTTTTGAATATGAAAACAATCCAAGGCTAAAGAGACCTTTCATGAGATCATATCATTTGAAAATTACATGTTTTAATAAAACATTTTCGGTTCGTTAGTTTTTAGGGTCAATTCTTTATTATAATTTCTAATATCGTTACCATTTTTTGTTTTTTTTTATTAACATTGAGTCTACCTCTCTATAATAGAATAATCTTTAAATAAGATTAATTTGCAAAATTATCTATATTATTTTTTTTTATTTTGTTCTCAAACTGATTACTTGATTTAAAACAACTGGGTTTAACAAATATATCATTTTTATGCACTAAATTATTATTTTACTAGCTTAATTTTTATTGGTAATATTACATTTGAGAACGCCTATTTTGTGTTTTGTTATACTGCGTGTCGATGCACATGTTGCTCGTTGCTCATGGGTAAAAATGAAAATACTCCTAAAATTCAGATCTTCGAGATGTATTAAGCAGCCATTTTTTGTTTGAACTTAAAACTCTTTAAAATTTTAATTTAACTACTTTTTATAGAAAAAAAACGATTCTTAAATGCAATGGTGCTACAGATGATGTAATTTTGATTACATTTTTAAATTTTCCAGACAAAAACACAAAACAAAAAAAAGCAAAACTATTCAAATTTATAATTTTTACTTATATTTCAGCTGTTTTTACATAAATTAATGAAAGACAAATCTTTTTTTAAAATTTAAAAGTTCGAACTACTTAGAGAAAAAAGTTCGAACTTGAACGTTGAAATTTTTGCGTAAAGTTCGAACGTTTGAACTTGAACATGTTCGAACTAGCAGCCCTAAGGTATATATACAATATAAAAAATTTCGAAAACCCGGGTATTGGACTTCATTGACCTAAAAGATGTAATCTCTGCATATGTGAGCTTAAAATGCAGTCGAAAGGTGTTCTAAAACCTATACTAATTGCAGAGTGCTTTTAATAATAAATAACGCGAAACGCTTGTTTAAATACAAAGGAAAATACATAAAAAGCCATACGCAACAATTACACAAATTTGAATACTAGAAGGCCAACAGGGACCTGATCTTCATAATAAAGATGGTTAGGATCAGATTATCAAGTTTATAATTATCAATTATACAAATTTAAATTTTTATTAGTTAACACATTATATATTTTTTGTTTATAAAGATTTTGATCTTTTAAGTATTGTCTTTTTAAGTTAAATTTGTTTGCATTATCTTTTCAAAAAATTAATGCAAATATGGCAAAATCACTAAACTTATTTTTAAGTTTTAAACAACAAAACACAATTTGTAATCTTGCAAAATAACTCCAAAAAATTTATTAAAAAAAATGTTATATATTATTTTGAGTCAGGATAGTTTTAAAGTGTGTGGGAGGGGGATGGGGAGGAGAGGGGTTGGCACCCCTCCCCAAAAGAAGGCAATTTGCAACTTATAGTCAGCTTTTTGAGGAATGTAATCGGTATTTACTAATCAGGAGCGGATCCATCATTTTTTGGTATTTGAAACGTGAAAGCAACAAGCTGATAAAATGTTTTTTGTACTTTTCTACGCTAGATTTATACTCATCAATAAGTTTTAAATTTCATAATAAAATGTATCAGCGTTTAAAAATTATGACCGTATAAAGTTTAAATCCTCTCAATTTGAGGGGGTTACAAATTTTTTATGGTTATTATTTTTGAAGGCTATTTTATCAACTTGTTTTTCCCACGTTTGGAAAATTTTAGAGTTTTTTTCAAAAACCAAAAAATACTGAATCCGCCCCTGCTAATGATATATTTATCTTTTAATCTATTGATTAATAAACCTTTGTGTATATGTTTATTTCTAAATCTGTGAATATTTAAATTAGAAAAAATAGTTATTGCAAAATATATTTATAATTATTAAAGTAGTTTACTTTCTTATTATATCAGTCGTTCATTTTATTAGTTACATATTTTAATGGATTTTTGACCATATTTTAATATACTAAAGGGCTCTATGAATACATTTAGGTAGTATTGCATCACTCATATCTTCTTTGAGTCTCGGTAAAACTCGTCGTGAATTTATTTTGTTTATAAACAGCAAAATGTATACTGTTAAATATATATATATATATATATATATATATATATATATATATATATATATATATATATATATATATATATATATATATATATATATATATATATATATATATATAGCAGTTTGTAAATAATAATTCTATCTGACTTAATAAGGTCACATTAAGGTTGTATACATTTAATATACTCTAAAAAGTACTTTGTGTTAAACAAGTTCATTAAAATAAAAAAAAATAAATTAATGTTGTCATATAAAAATTAAAGCCGCAATCAATAATTATATAAAAAAATATTTAAAAGAAGAATTAAAGTCAAAATGTAAGAACCACACTGCCGGCTACCTTCAGCGAATACTATCGATGGCTTTGGTGTCGGAATATTTATTTGAGATATTTTGTCTTTTTCTTTTTGTGATGTTAGGATACTTTTAGATTTCGAATTGTCATATTGAGATACTTTTGGTGATAACGTCGGTATGATTTCGTTACATAAACTTTTGTCGCAACATGTTCTCTAAAAATCCATAATTATAAAATTTGCAGTCCTATTAAATAACAATCACTAAATAAAATTTAAAAAGCTTTTTTAGTATATCATCGTTTTTACGAATGAATTTTTTTAAAAGAGGTTTTCAATTATATAAACTGAATTCTAAATGATCACAATCATACAAATATAATTATTATACAAAAAAATTTAAATTAATAATTTAAAATTAAATTAAAACATCCGTTTATAGTATATAAAATCCTTATAAAATTATTTTTAATCTACTGCAATATTTCTAGGGGTTATATATACCCTCGTTATTCAAGTTTATAGTACATAAACTTATCCTTATAAAATTATTTTTAATCTACTGCAATATTTCTAAGGGTTATATATACCCTCGTTATTCAAGTTTATAGTATATAAACTTATCCTTATAAAACTATTTTTAATCTACTGCAATATTTCTCGGGTTTATATACACATTCGTTATTCAAGTAAAAAAAAAATATTTTTTTTTTTTTTTCGGACAATTTAATGCACAAACACCATAAATTTTTTGCCCAAATTTGCAATTTACTACATATCTAAAATTATCGTGTTTAATATACTAAAAAAGCAAAGCGGAGTCACCAGCGTAAGCAGATTTCTTTGCTTTGTTGTAGCTTATATTTAGGTTTAATTATTTAACTCAGAGGCAATTTTAGTAACAAAATGAGGGGGGAGAGCCTATAAAAAGTACCGACTGCTTTTTAAAACACGGTTGAACGGTTGATGAGTTTGAAAGAGGCTTTAAATCTGTTAAAAAAAATAAAGCAATTGGAGCAGATCAAATTAATGGAAACATGGTTTTAGATTGCTTTGAACAACTTAAAGTTGTTCTTTTTAAAATCTTTAGGGCTTCTATCCATCAAGTAGTATTCCTAGAACAATTAAAAATTGCAAAAATTATTCCTATTTTTAAAGAAGGAGACAAATCTGAAATCAGTAATTATCTCTGTTCTCTCCACATTTTCGAAAATTTTAGAAAAAATTATGTTTAACAGAATATACAAATATTTTCATGATAATAATCTACTTTTCATCAATCAATTTGGTTTCAAGAAAAATAACTCAACTGAAAATGCAATTATCCAATTTGTACGTAAAATCTCAAAATCATTCGAAAAATCACAATATACAGTAGGAATTTTTATTAACTTATCAAAAGCTTTTGATACGGTCGATCGCCATATTTTAAATAATAACTCAAATACTACGGAATAAAAAATAAAATTTTAAAATAGTTTAAAAGTTATCTATCTAACAGAAAGCAAATTGTACCATTTAACAATGATTACCAACCCACTTTTCTTAATATAACCTGTGGAGTCACACAAGGTTCAATTCTTGGACCTCTCCTTTTTTATAATTTCTATAAATGACTTAAATAAAGCTTCAAATCTAACAAGAATTATGTATGCAGATGATACAAATTTATTCCTTTCTAACTATGATATCGATGAACTTATTAAAAAAGTGAACAAAGAACTCAGACATATATCTAATTGGTTCAAGTGTAATAAGTTAACCTTGAATACTAATAAAATAAAATGGGTTTTATTTCATTCGATTACAAAAAAGCGATTTCTGCCATCAAAATTACCTCAAGTCTTTATCAATCAAAAGTAAATAAAAAGAGATTTTGTTACAAAATTTTTAGTTGTTTATCTTGATGAAAACATTACTTTGAATCACCATATTGATTATATAAGCAAAAAAATTTCTAAAAACATGGGCATCCTATATAAATCACGAATCTATCTCAATAAGAAAGTCTTAATCTAACTTTATTATTCATTTATACATAGTTATTTAAATTATGCCAATATTGCTTGGGGAAGTACAGAAAAAAGTAAGTTGCAACGTCTTTATCTCCGTCAGAAACGCATTCATTCGAAGCATTATTTTATTAAAATGAGAATTCTGAATATCTAAGAGTTAAATGTATTTAATATTTTATGTTTTGTGTATATGTGGATAAATAACTTATCCCTAGCCGTATTCAAAGATCTTTTTTCTTTTAAACGAGTCAGTAAATATATTTTGAGAAATAATAACTTTTTAAACGAGCCTTTCTGTCAAACAAACTTTAATCAATTTTGTATTACCTATCAAGCGCCACACCTTAGGAATAAAATTGTATTGGCAAACTTTAATTTCGAAATACCTATTACTTTTTGCCTTTTTTAAAAAAAAACTGAAAAACCTCATTTTTTCATTAGATAATATATTGAGTTATTATTAGTAGTAAAAGTTAAAAATATATTTTGGTCTATTTTTTTTTGTTTATAGAAGTTTTATGTTTATAGAAGTTTATTCCTACTTATTTTATTTATTGTTCTTATACTTTTTACTTTTTAATTTATATGTTGGTTTACTCTTGTATAAAATTCTGATGAGAAGATCCTCTTGATCTTTCTTCAGACACAGATTGTTTGCCTTGCAATTTTGTAAAAGTTTATTAATTTTATTTTTATTCTTATATTTGTTAAATGCTTTTTTAAGGTTCTGACGACAAGATCCTTGCGATCGTCTTTCAGATACCTTGTTTATGTTTGTTATCTTTTATGCCATTGTAAGTTTATATTACTATTTTTATTATGGCTGTACAACGATTAACAAATGTAAACTTAAAAAAAGATAAAAAAATAAAAATAAATAAATAAATAATTAAATAAATTGAAATACATGTCTATATACTAAAATCATCACACTACTATTTTAATTAACTATAAATAAGTAAAAAAACTTACATTACAATTTTGAAATCTTTCCATTAAGCACAAAACATCACAAGAAATGTCTGAGCAATCGTATATATTTTTTCTTAATGTTTGACTGTTTTCTTCAATAACATACGATGCCATCATGCAACGTGTTTGTTCGGATTTACATTTTTTAATAGTTATATTGAAAAGACATTCTTTTTGACTGCTTGAAGAACACGAATAACATTCCAAATTGCTGACTAAAAATGAAGAAAACTTTTAATAATTGAATTTATCACAATGACTTTTATAAACAACGGTCTAAAAACATTAGGAGTACTTAATACATTTTTTTTCTCTTTTAATATCACGTTAAAATAAAATTGTAGAGTCCTTAGTATTAAATTAGTATTTTCTACCTAACTCTCACCTTACTGTTAGTGGGTCTTTATAGGGAAGGAGTGGGAGCGAGATTGTCTTATTTTTATTTAATCAATTATAACTTTTATAATGGTAGAACAATTTAATTTAAACCCTAAATCTTTATGCTTATATATGTATATATATATATATATATATATATATATATATATATATATATATATATATATATATATATATATATATATATATATATATATATATATATATATATATATATATATATATATATATATATATATATATATATATATATATATATATATATATATATATATATTTATATGTATTTATATATTTATATGTACAGGACCGTCCCCGAAAGAGGTGTTGGGGTGTCTCACCACCCCAAAAGCTGTCATATAAGCATTTGAGTTGGCACATTGAACAAGTTTTGAACTATACTTGGTAAATTGCAAATATTGAGGACCTTTTTTTTTTATTATTTGGTGTTTCTAGTTGGCAAAAAAATATATACACCCCCATGGAATACCTCTTTGGGACGGCATATATATATATATATATATATATATATATTATATATATATATATATATATATATATATATATATATATATATATATATATATATATATATATATATATATATATATATATACATATATATATATATATATATATATATATATATATATATATATATATATATATATATATATATATATATATATATATATATATATATATATATATATATATATATATATATATTATACGTGTGTTTTATTTACCATAAAATAAAAAAATAATGAAAAAAGATACACAAATCAAACAATCCAAAGTCAAATAGATATTAGAAAAAATAAGAACTGTTTTGTTTTCAATTTTTCGGGCAAAAAATTAGGGTTTTTTTTAACTTAATTTCTACTAAAGTGCTTATAGCACTTAATGCTGTTTAGATATACATTTAGATACAGGTAGATATTTGTTTAGATATATATGTTACTGTTTAGATATATTAATAACTGAACTACTTCAAAAACGTATTTAATGTGGTATGCAGAGTCTTTATCTATAGAAATTTTTTTTAAAAATTTCTATAGATAAAATTTAACTAAAATTGCTTATCTAATGCATTTTTTTCTCCTTCGTTAAAATACCTACCAATTTCGTTTAACAATGTATTTAAAGAATTACAAATAAATTAGCAAACAACAATAACAACTTCTAAAAATTGGAGTTGTTTTTTTAATGGGCAAAGTTTTACTTTCTGACCTTTAGGGTATTCATAAAAAGTTAGGATAATGATAAAAAGATAGGGTATTAATAAAAAGCTAGGATAGTGATCATAGGCGTAGAGTTTTAATTTTCCCAGATGGGGCATAAACTATTTTGTAGGAGTTAAAATCTATATTAGGAAATAAAAAGTTTTTCAATGGTCATAAAAATATAATTTATTTTTTCTTAAGTAAAATGCGTTCATGCGTATGGAGGGCGTATGCGCGTGTGTTCATGCGTATGGATGCGTATGCGCATTATAAACTGATTGATCAAATGATCAAGATCAAGAGTGTAGACAATATCGCGAAATTTAAAATTACGAGATGATTCAATTGCTCCTGAGACATTGTAGAACGAAAATAAGTCTTTAGCCTAGGAAGGCAAGAAAAAAAGAGCGCTCACATAGAAAAATAGCAAAATCTTCGCCAGCTTCATAAACTCGGGAATCAGTTTAATTAATTGAGAAAGAACATCATCATGGTCTACAAGCTTATTCAAAACTGGTCTACAACATGGTCTACAAGCTCATTCAAAACTGGTCATTACAAAAAGCTCATTCAAAACTGGTCACTACAAGCTCAATAAAACATGGTCTACAAGCTCATTGAAAACTGATTTAAAATCATTTTGTTGAATATTATTGAATTTTGCATGATCCAAAAATGTATCGCGATGGATTTGTAGCCTTCTATAATCTTCAAAGTCATCTTTGAAAAACGCCTCAATGAATCCAACTTCCAATCACTGACCAATGATAAATTTTCTACATTTGCTAAATGCTCAGTGGTCTCAGTCGGTTTGAAACGGGTCGGGATCCCGTTATAACACTATTAAGAGATGTTTAGAAAAGCTGGCGGTAGTGGTCCTCTGGAGTTGTAGCAAAGTATGGAACTCCATTTCCAGTAAATTTTGATGTAATTTTAAGTTTCCTTGGCATCTCTGGTTTTTCAAGTAAACTACATTCTGCTGCTCCAACGGCTGCATCCCATAAGACTTTGAAGCGAGTATCACTCGGGCTTCTTTTAACACCTCCTTTTCCGTGATTCCCTCATAACTTTCGCATTGTTCACAAAGCGTTGCATGAGCAAAGTCTTGTAGGATTTCGTTTTCAATTTCGGGCGAGAGCCACTTTTGCTTTTCAGGACGATTCAACCATTTCTTCAGTTCCAGAGAATCGTCTGCTCGTAGTTTGAGTAGCATGCGAAAGTTTTAATTATTTTCAACCTTTCCACGAATGTCAAGGCCTTGCGTTCTCTAAGACATAAAGAAGAAACATTTAGTTATCCAGTAAATAAATTGAACGATTGATAGTTAATCTAAATTTTTTTTAAACGAAATTGAGGAATTACCAAATAAAGAAAAGTTGTAAATATTTTTGATAAAGCCGTAAGATTATCCATCGTTTCTTTCTTTTGGCGATGATTATGCTGCTGGATAACAGTCGATTCCAGTGTTGCTGAGGCGATCATACTAACAGAAACCCTATGGAGTTCAGATCGCTCGTGAGAACCAAAAATTTGTAACGCTTTCTTCCAATTACAAAACCTGTTTAAAATAATAACTTCGTACAAATCTTTTTCTCTTGAACTACGAGGTAAAAGCATTTTCATTTGGGTAGCTTTGATGCAGGTCTAACAAAAAACTTTTTCTTTCTCGCGGTCATGAAAAACCCATTTATATTTTTCATTCCAGCTTTGATTAAATTTTCTATCCTTTTTTGATGGAAAAGATGACTGCCTTGAACAACAAGGTCCAGGCTCCTCTGTAAAAGACGGCCACTCAACAACAGCGGTTTAATCAGTTGCATCATCTGACTGAACATATGACAAACTTTCATGAGTATTATTTTGGAAGTTATCAGCATTTTGAGATTCAGAAAATAATGCAACTGTTTCAATTTTATTTTATTTTCTTTTTAATTAAAAGTCAATGTACTGTTGAACAATTAAAAAATTTCTTCAAAAACATACGTTTTTTTAATTTAAAACTTATAAATAACACAGGTCAACAAAAAATTTTTTTTCTGGTGCTGAGCAAAAAATTCGTTTTTTGCATAGCATTTCTCATTTTGATTTCAAATATGCAACCCATTTTTCACCATCTCGTCAAGTAGTAAAGATATTTGGGTTCAAGTCTTTAGTATTTGGGGTTAAGTCCCCAAATACTAAAGTCTAATATTGTCGAAAAAAAAGTTATTCAAAAGTATGTCAACCTGGGTCTCAAAAGAAGAAAATTTTCATAGAGATTTTAGAAAACACAACTATTTTTACTTGAAATTTATTTACAAAAAAATTATGTGAAAAAACGCTAAAGACTCTTAAAAAAATTTAAAAAAATGTTTCTCAGCAATAATACAAAAAGTACTTATTTTTATTACAAACAAATAACATTTTTAAAATCTTTATGAAAATACGCTTCTTTTCAGACCCAGGTTGACATACTTTTGAATAATTTTTTTTTTGACAATATTAAGGATTTTACCTCTAATGCTAAAAATTTGAGCCCAAATATCTTTACAACTTGACGTGATGGTGAAAATTGAGTTGCATATTTGAAATCAAATTTAGAAATGCTATACAAAAAGCAAATCGTTTGGGCACTAGAAAACAATTTTTTTTTGTTGACCTGTGTAATTAATACAAATAATACTGCCAAAGCTATCAAAGAAAAAAAAAAAAAAAATACTAAAAAGTACGTTTAACTATCACAACTCTTTAGTTTATGTAGTTCCGTTAATTTGCTTTACATTTTTATCTTAAACTCCCATCAGAAGGATGGAATTTCTGAAATTCGAAAAATAACTTAAACTTTTGAAAGATTAAAATTTTGAAAATCACCATAAGTATTTGCGGAAATATTACAATCGTTTTTAAATTGCTACATTTGTTAATGTTGAAGTATAATATGGTTTTTATTTTTTAAATATCTTTGAAAGCTTGGTGAATTTTCCCGGCCCTAGCAACAAATTTCCGGATGGGGTTCGAGCCCCAGCGCGTTCTACGCCTATAATAGTGATAAAAAGTTAGGATATTAATAATAAGTTAGGATATTGATAATAAGTTAGGATATTAATAAAAAGTTAGGATAGTGATGAAAAGTTAGGATAAAAATTTTGGTTAGTAATATGAATATTGGATAGTGATATATGCTTGGTTATTTCTTAACTAAACTATTAGGATAGTGATAAAAATTTAGGATAGTGATATATGCTTGGTTATATATTAACTAAAAACTGTTATTATGAAAAATATTTTAATTCAACTAATATAATAGGTTTATTATTATTAAAAAAAAAATCTGGTAAAAATAAATTAGTTTAAAATAGTTAGGTCTTTTCGAAAGAAGCCTTTTTATAGAGGTAACTTCCACCATTTTATGAGGCTACCTTCTATCTTTTCATAGAAGCTACCTTCTTTCTACCCTTAAATAAAACCACTTTAATAACATTTTGAAAGAAATGACATAAACTTTTAGTTTTAATATAAAAAACAAATTTCCTTTAATGACGAGTATATAAATCGATTAAAAGTAAATAATTCGAGTAAAGGTAAATAACACTATTAAAAAGTTGTTTAAAATCTAATTCAAGATGATAAGTTCAATATATTATTTTCTTAAATCGACGCTAGTGATTATGATAAAGATAAAACTTTCTAATCTCAATCATTTTTTAATCTTATAAAGGAGATCTTGTGATGCCGATCAACATAAATTTATAAGCACAATTAAAAAAAATTTTTTTTTCACAATTGTTTTTCAAGTTTATTTGTAACGAATTTATCACAATTTTTATTAACCGCTAAAATATTTTAAGAAATAAACGGAGAAAATTGTTAAAAATTTTTTTTTTTTTAATATTTTAAGAACTACACGGAGAATTGTTAAAAATAAAATTTAAAAATTATAATAATAATAGAACAAAATAACGAAAATTATAATATTAAAAAAACATCTTAAAATAGTTTACTTTATATATTCAAACAATAAAAAGATTAAACGTTACCTAATGGTAAAGTAAATAGACACAGAGTACACCAAAAAAAATTCATCTTTGAAGATAAGAAAAAATAATATTTCAAATATAGATAATATTAAAAATTAAAATAAGTAGACAAACGATTTCATAAAAAAGCTCTTAGCACATTAACCATTCTCAATTAAAATCATTTGCTGAAAAAAAAAAGATAAATAATTCATCACAGGTTTTTATCCAAAACAAAAACAAAATGTTTTCGTAATTTTAACGAAGTGCGCAATACAGTTTAAAAGCTATACACACTAAGTACACGCTATGTTTTAATATCCATTTTATATTTACGTATTACTTTATCTCTACAAGCAGTATACACAAACGGACTATTTGAGCTAACATTATAAATAGAGTCGCAATTGGGGCCAGACATTTCTATGGTAACACTAATATCGTTCATTTGAATGCAACTGCAGGAACCGTCTTCTAAAAAAAAAAATTACCAAACAAAATCCATAAATAATTCTTACAGCACAAAAACAAAAACAAATTAGTAATAATAATAATAATAATAAGATAAAATATTTTATAACCTAAATGAGTATGTGTTGCATGGTAATTTCACACAACGACCTAAAGCATTTTTTTTAAACGGCTATTACTTTTTTAGCCAAAAATTTCACCTCAAAAATTTGCAAATTTTTTTTTTTTTAAAGTTTAATTTTATAATGTATTTTTGTATTTTAATACTCTGTTTTTATTTTCGTGAATTTGTTTATTAAACAGAAAGCGGATGTGACACAAAGCCTTTTATAAAATTTATTTAGTTTAAAATTATAAATTTATTAGGCAAAGAAATCTTTTTTAAAAAATTAAAAATAATTTAAACCTCTTCCAATAAGAATGCTATCATCAGATAACCTTTCCAAACACTTCACACTCGATTTACCACATTTATAATCATATAGCGGAGAACTTAATTAAAAAATATAACAAAAAAAAAAATAACCTTGATAACACAAAATAAATAAAAGAAAAAAAAAATTAGTATAAATGCCTACGTTGTATGCCTAATATCAAATAAATTGATTCTTCCATCTTGATGTCCAGTTATAAGCTTGTTCTCGCTTGCGAAACAGCAATCGTTTACAGGGGAGTCACAATTAAGGCTGTAAACCTTAATAAAAAATAAAATAAATTGACCGCAATTCGCAATCAAAAAAAATTTAACAGTTAAAGTAAAAACTACTTTAGTTTTCGAAGAAACATCTACAGCTTGTACATAACCACTTTCTTGACCAACAACAAGCATTTTTCCATCGGTACCATATTCAAACTGACCTAAAAGCAAAACACTTTAAAAAATGGTTTTACAGTTTATCAATGTTTACAAACCATATAAACTGAATAACAACAAATAATCTTTTACTTCTTTCATTATTTTGAAAACTGCTTCCATAAGAAATAAGTGAACAACAATTAAGAACAGTTTCACTTTCTAAAAGAGTTGCGATGCATTTTGCACTGCTGCAATCCCACAGAAAAGCTCGACCATCTCGGCTGCACGCTTTAAATAAATATCACACAATTAATTGCAATATTTAAATATCAAACAAAAACTTCTATTTACCAATTTTAAATGTTTCCAGCAAAATTTTATGCAACAACATAAATGTTTCCAGGACAAAAATAGTCTTACAAAATTATTAATAGTTACATATAAAATTTCTTCCTCTTTCGATAATTGAGGTGTCAGTAATAGCTGCAAAAAAAAAAAAAAAAAAAAAATTAATTTCAGTCAAAAAAATAAAAAATAAAAAATTCTGTATATTATAAAATAAAATGTCTTTTAAGAGTTTTGTATAAAGAACAGAGCTGCCAATTTGAGCTTTTTTTTAAAAAAAGTTCGAATTCTAACACTATCAAACAATTTAGGAAAAAGGTTCGAACTTTTTCAAACTTTTTCAAAGTTTTTATTTATTTAAAATTAAAAACAAAAGGCATCCAGTTTCTTTTTTTATGTGAAAACAAGGCTAGAGAGCCCTTTCACGAGATCATACCTAATTTCACCCTAGTCAATTACATTTGAAAATCATGTTTTAATAAAACATTTTCGGTTACCTTAGCTAGAGCCAATTCTTTGATATAATTTCTGCTATCCTTACCATTTTTTGACTTTTTTATTAACATTAAGTCTACCTCTCTAAGCTTACATCAAGTCTACCTCTCTAAGCTTACATCAAGTCTACTTCTCTAACTTACATCAAGTCTACCTCTCTAATCTTACATCAAGTCTACCTCTCTAAGCTTATATCAAGTCTACCTCTCTAAGCTTACATCAAGTCTACCTCTCTAAGCTTACATTGAGTCTACCTCTCTGGAATAATCTTTGAATAAGATTAGTTTGCAAAATTATTTCTTTTTATTTTGTTCTCAAACTGATTACTTCTATTCAAAACAACTGGTTTTAACAAATATATCATTTTTATGCACTAAATTATTATTTTATTAATTTAATTTTTATCGATGTTATTAAATTAGACAATGTCTATTTTTTTTTTTTTTTTTTGTGTAATATCTTGTAATAGTGCGTGTTGAGGCACATTTTGCTCGTTACAGCTTTTGGGAACAAATGAAAATACTCCTAAACTTCAGATCTTCTAGATGTGCTAACACTGAGTAGCCATTTTTTGTTTGAATTCTAGACCCTTTATAACTTTAATTTCAAACATAAAAAAACAGTGGTCAAATGGTGAAAAAGTAACAGCCACTGTTTAACTACTTTTTCAATAGGAAAAAACCGATCCTACCTTAAATGCGATGGCAATACGGGTGATGTAATTTTTATTATATTTTTAGAGTTGCCAGACAAACGCAAAACATAAAATAGCAAAAAAATTCAAATTTATAATTTTTACTTATATTTCAGCTGTTTTTACAAAAATGACATATTTTTTTATAAAAATGACATATGTTTTTACAAATTTTTTTTTTTTAATTTAAAAGTTCAAACTATTAGATGAAAAAAGTTCAAACTTGAACATTGAAAATTTTGCTTAAAGTTCGAACACTCGAACCTGAACTTGCTCGAACTAGCAGCCCTAGTAAACAATGAAATACACGATTATTTTACAAGAAATGCAAATAATCATCACTAAAAAAGCCAGAACAAGAAAAGCGGACGAAAGTCTTTTACAATAGGATAAAATTGTACAACCAATTGCCAAATGAATTTGAATCACCTAACAGGAGGGGATTCAAGAATCAAGTCGTTAAGTATTTATAGGAAAAAGTTTATAAAAAAGAAATGAAATGTTATGTACTATATTTTACACTGATTTTAAATAGCAGTAAACGAGTTAATATTAACAACAATAACAATAATAGTAATAATAATAATAATAACAATATTATAAATAATAATAAATAATAATAATAATGAAAATATAATTTAAACTGTTATTAATGCTTTTCACTCAGTGTTATAAGAATGCAAAATAACATGACCTAAAGTATCTAATAATAATCCAAATTTTAGAAACCAAATAAAATATTAAAAACATTAAATACATTATTGTTGCCACAGCAATGATCACAACAATGGCTGCATTCAGTTTTATTCAAAATGAAACTGTATTTATATTTTTATCAATTTATTTATGTCACTTCCAGCATTGCTAGAAGTGATATCAATAAAAATAAACCATCAATTACATCATCAATTACATCACTATATCATCAATTACATCATCAATTACATCACTATATCATCAACTACATCACTATATCACTGATGTAACTATTATTTAAATATATTCATTTAAATATTTTATTTCAATAACTTTAACTTAAATAAATAGCAATACATATTCATATTATTATTATATATATACTCAACAGAAACTCATAAAACTGGACAAACAATAATAAAAAGAGCTTGCAATTAAAGTTTAAAACAAAAATTATTGCATCTTTAAAGTTGGATCAATTCAGACCAACATCTGATGAACAGTATTAGGAACTTCTATTACCAAATTTAAAATTATTTTCTTTTTATCTTTGCTATTAAATTCAATATCATTATAATAACCTCCTTTATGCTTAATTAAAGTGACGGGACAAGATCCATCTTCTGTTGACCAGATCTTCAAAAGCATATCATCTCCTCCTGATAACACAACAACTCCAGATGGAAAGAACCGACAATGTGAAGGGTCCCCAAAATGTCCATCCAATGTACGCTATATTTGAGTAATATTATTACATTAAAATTAATTAAAATTCTAATTAATTTTAATGTAGTACTAATTAAAAAGTAATATAAAAAACTCCAATTTATAATTAATTCTTGTAATTTAACTTCAAATTTAACTTTATAAGATAAACAATAAATTAATGAAAATAAAAACTAACTCGTGTAAGTCCATCATCTGTTTGCCATACACACAAAGCTCCATAACTACAAGAAACAGCAAGACTGCCACTTGGTGACAAATCCATACAACGTACCTGTGAGATTTGGCATAAAAATTTCATTATGAAGGCTGAATTATTTTTCTGCAATAAACTTTACTGATAAACACAAACACCAAGTTCTTTAAACATATTAGGGTAAGTTGATTTTAACTATTGCATATTGCATAATGTTGTAGTTGTAATAGACTGTTGAAATAAAATAAGCCTAATATCTGACAGAATTTTGATAAAGAATTGCTTGCAGATTTATTGTTAAAAATTTTTGGGTTTAAAAAATTGCCTATTTAAGTGCTATAATATACTTCTAATAAATTGTCACTGTTTGAAGATTTCAACAGTAAAACTTTCATGTTTAAATAAAAAAAATCATAAATACATTTACATAAAAAAGTTATAAATACATTAAACCTAAAAATAAACATGAATTTCTTAAAACAATTTGACTAAGAATAGATTTTTAAGAAGAACATTTTTCACTTGATTAAAAAATATCATCATAAAGAATGTCTTTTTAAAGACATCTTTTGGCTAAACAAAATGGTTAAAATACAACTGCGTCTAATCATAAACCAAAAAAAAAATTATTTTCTGATAGTTTTGTTGCTCACTATATAATCTACGAATAATATGGGAAATTAGAAATCTCATGTTTGACTTTATTATTTGTGTTGAGTTTCTTTAATTAAAAAATGTCAATTTGTAAGCGCCTCCATAACTTCTGCAATAATTAGATCAATCAATGGATGAGTTGGATGATTAATGGGGCAATATATGGATGAGCTTGATACTTTAAGAATTGATTTTTAATAGTTGAAATGTTGTGTAAATCAGACTTTAATGAATGAATTTTAATGGATGTATGGGGTGAATACAATTAATTCAAATTATTAAATGTTATTATGTCTGTTATTTTTTTTATATATATTTATATAAGTAATAACTTTATAATTTAAAAATCAATTAGCCATCAGTTGATTTTAAATAAGATTAAATTTTTTTTTAATGAGATTTAATAGCATGTTAAATAAACTGCCATCTCTTTCAAATTAAAATCAAATTGCTTTTTTTTCTGAAATATATTCTCAAAAAAAAAATTGTCAGGATATTGTTATTCATTACTCTTCCATTTCTTTTTTTTTTTTTTCTTCCATTTCTTTTCAGCCTGAAAATATGTTAAGATCAAAGACTGCATTTAAAAAAATAAACCAAGTAGAATATATAAAAAAAGAAAATTTAACAAAAAAAGACTCATAACTTCTAACAAGACAAAAATAAAGACTTACATAACTTTTATGAATATTGTTAAATTCTTTTATTGGTGAAAAGAAATAAGTTGTTATATTAAAGTCTAAACTTTTAACCATCAGCACACCCTAAAAATATTGTTATCACTAGTACACTAAGTAAAAATTATATATAATTTTGTTACTGTAAATTGATTTAAAGTAAACATATATATCTATATTAATAAACATTTAAAATCTATAATAATAACAACATAAAAACATTATTTAAATGTATAAAGTTTAAAACAATTTTTTTAAAACAATACAAATTTCTTCAAAGCTGAAAAGTTTAAAAGATGAAGATGAAACTTTAAAAGTTCATTGTAAAAAAAAACAAAAATCTTATAAAATAATTTATCGAGCTTTAAATGATATATACAAAATAGAAAAGCGTCATATTTTGCTAAAATCTCAAAAATTATCTCAAAAATTATCTCAGAAATTATCTCAAAAATTACCTCAGAAATTATCTCAAAAATTATCTCAAAAATTATCTCAAAGATCTGAGAAACAAAGCAAAACAAGTGTATATTACAAAACATATACAATGTATAAGCTTTTTATTGAAAAAATTTATGCTCAGTTTGCAATCATTTATGTGAAACCATTTTCTCTTTTGAGATTCCTATTTTGACCTTCTATTTTTATATTAGATATGTTGATTATTTCATTTGCAGTAAATATAATATGCTTTGTCACTCATATCATAATTTAATTTGTTTCACAATTACTGTTCAAGTAATAAATAGAAGAAAAATATTATTTATATGAGACCTTACAATACCTATATAGAAGCTATGAGGAAGAATAAAGTTGGAACCTTATTTGGAACTTGTATATTTATATGGGCCTTTTAAAAACTCCTGTTCGGAGTTGGATCTATATGGCACTAAGCCTGTATATGGTCATGATGTGACCCATATGCTCTGGTAAGGTGAATAGGGCAATAATTTAAAAAAAATTTTAAAAATCATAAAACTTAAAAATGTTTTCATAAAATATTTTTTTGATAAATTTTTCTTCACTAAATATTTAATTTAGAAAACAACCAAAAGATAGGGGAGAAAAGGGCAGAGAATGAACTAAAATATTTGACATCTCTTTTCAAAATTTCTATAGCTACCTCTTTACATACCACACTTTTATGTTTCAAAATTATTAAAAAATTGTTGTAATTATTTTAATTAACATTCTTTAATATTTAATTAAAAATAGCTTGTTTTTATGTCTTACTTTTTCTAAAATTTTTTTTAAAAGTCTTTATTTCTATAATTAAAAAAATATGCTGCAATAAACCTATTCCATAAAATATTTGCATAATAACTTAAATTTTTTATATAATAAAAAATAATAAATTCTCCTAAAATATACTAAATGTTCACACCTTCCTAACTAACTGTACTTCAAAACCATTAGATGCTATTAATTCAACAGCGCCATCTTTCATCCACGAGTTTATCATGCCATATATACTTGGTGCACCTGTAATAAAAACTTCATAATTTCTAATATGTGAACTTTTTGAAGTTATTAAATTTTTCATGTTTTCAACATATTATTCCATGGAAACATGATGTTATCATGGATGCTATTAATATCATGTTACCATGGTCATACAGACAAATGTAAATTATTTCAAAAATTTAGGTTATTTAGTTAAAAGTGTTTGGTTATTTTTATTATTTTTCTGAGAGTTATGCCAATGAAAATAATGGCTTCATGTTTTTAGTAAGAAAGAATATTTATAAATTATTACATTTTAAGTTTTATTAAAATTAAATAATTTTATTTAAAAAGATCTTTTTTTTTTTATCTTTAAAATATTTAAGATATTATAAACTAATAGAAAAAAAATGTTTTTGATATTAAACTTGTGCAACTAAATTAAAGCTTCAATTCAACAATTAGAAATAATTAAAAAATAAATGCATATATTTTTTATTTTTCTACAAGTGCATATTTAGCTACAGACAAACATTAATAGCTCCAGCTTAAGCTACAGACAAACATTAATAGCTCCAACTTTAGCAACAGACAAACATTAATAGCACCATATATTTTTTTTAAATTAAAGTCTATACAATCTCTAACTACATAACCTCACCAAAAATGTTATTTCATACTCGGATTCTTGCATTTTCCATTTATGCAAATAAATTTGCTTTTTAGCAAAAAAAAAGATTAATAATTAAAAAAATCAGTAAACCATTAAAAATCTAAAAATTTTAATTAAATTATAATTTTATAATTAAAAATGATAATGGAGAGACTTTGTGGTAATTAAAAATTTTCATGTGTGAATCAACACAGCTTTGTTAATACAAAATAATGTGCAATATATTGATTTCATACATTCTGATTATCTGTATATTAGTCCAGGAACATGTAAACATATTTTTTGATTGGGCTTGATGTACTTTGGCTCTACATGTACTTAAAAGGAAGCCAAAGAGATCAATCTTTAGAGCTATACTGTTTTATTTTGTTCATTGTTTTTGGTCTTATACCTTATTTGCAAAATGAGTAAATTTTGAAAAAAAATATAAAGTCTTACGGCATGCACAATTCACAAAAATTAAATAAAAATTATAAAAAATAAGTATATGAAAAATCAAAATAGCTTCAACAATAAAATTAGGGATGTACCAGATTTCTGTTTCGGCTGGAATTTGTGATATTTAAGTTATTCTGGTTCCGGCCGGAATTATAATATTCCTGGCCGGAATGTCAGAATTAACTTTTTACTTTATTTAATTAAGACATGTGACACAAGACTGTAAATTAAATCAAAAAATCATTGTCCTACAGGAACTATGAAGAACTATGGGTAAACCTAGGTAAAAAATACAAAATTCTTAACTAAGAGTATGTAATTTTAGTTAAAGCTACATTTTAGCGCAATAAAATAATTTTATTTTTTTTGCTTGTTGCACTCTCGTTAGTGGAGAGTTTTTAAACATTAGAAATTTCAATTGAAATAACAAAAAAAAAAAAAAAAAAAAAAAGGATTGTTGCGCTATGCCAAATCCCTAGTCAATGTAGCAGCACTTCCTTGTAGAAGCAGGCTATAAGATATCCAATGTAGCAACACTCTCTTGTAGCAGCGGACTATAAGATAATGGATATAGTAGCACTCCTTTGTAGCAGCAGCCTATAAAATAACGGATGTAGCAGCAGGCTATAAGATAGTCTATATGTTCATATATATGTATATATATATATATATATATATATATATATATATATATGTGTGTGTATATATATATATATATATATATATATATATATATATATATATGTGTGTGTATATATATATATATATATATATATATATATATATATATATATATATATATATGAGGTGCAGGCTTTCACTTTCAATCTTGAAGGTAAAAAACTACATAAATATAAATCTCGTTCCAGCCGGAATTTTTTCAACAATTTCGGCAAATCCAGTTCCAGCCGGAACTGAAAATTTCCAATCTGGTACACCCCTAAATAAAATACAATAAGAAAACTTTAAAAAAAAGTTTGTCATGCACCTTCTATTGAGCAGGACACCCAAAAACTGGAGCTTGATTCACTAGAGTACAAGATGAAACTCATACAAATTTTTATCAAGCAAAATAAGTTCTAATTAAATCCTGGTTACCTTAAATTAAATATATATACAAAAAAACTAATATATAGCAAATAAATTTGATATATAGCCAAAAAAAGTAAATATATAACAAAAAATTTGATATATAATTCTATTTTTTCTTATAAAATTTAATTATTAAATAAGCAACTCAACACAAAGATATCAAAAAAAGAAAAAAAAAATATTTTAAGACATAAGAAATGAAAATATTGAAACACTGATTACCTGATAACTAAATACCAATCATTCTGAACAAATAATTGAGGCAACTCTATCTTCATTATTATCCTATAGAAAAAGTTTAAATTTGTAACTAAATGCAAAACAATTTTTTTTACGCACAAAAACATTTTCATAAAATATAGCTTCATACAAAATATATCCTTTAGTTCAAAATGTATTGCTTTACAAAAAACATATTGTTTCATAAAAAATGTATTGCATCTTACAAATTATATCATTTTATGCAAAATATATTTTTTTAAACCAAAATATTTTGTATAAATATATTGATCAATTAAAAGAAGTAAATTAAAAAATAAATGCATTAAAAAACATGTTTAATAAAAGGAGATACATTTAAAAAAAAAAACATTTGCAACATATTTATAACATTTGTAATATTTCATCAATGAAAAAAAAAATGTTACAAAATTTATTTATAATGTAATCATATTTATGTATAATGTAACTGAATTGTTGATTACTTACGCATAAAATGAAAGGAATTCACCACTGAATATAACTTATTTAATTCATTCACTGTACAATGAAATTCATTTACCATTTCATAAAATTTATTAAGAAAAAAAAAATTCACTAACAATAGCATATAAAGTGGTGATCAAAAAAAAAATTATAAATATTCTTTTTAATGTTAAAATAAATCTAATGAACGACTGCATCAACATCATTTAAATATATAAATTCTTATCAGCAACACCAATTCCATCAAACAATTTAAATTTCTTTGTCATTTCAAATGTTGTAAACTGAAAAAAAAACACCAAATGAATTCAAAAGTGATAATACCATGTAAAAAGATTAAAAACAAAAAAAATAGACATTACCCTCGGTAAAGATTTCATTCCATTATCTTGCAAAACAGGTTCAAAAGCTTTTAAAGAAAATACGTCCACAAAATGCGATTCTCCATATGTTACATACATAAGAGCATCGATGCAATGAAACTCGCAATAAGATAATACTTAAAAAGAATAAGGTAACATAATAGATTTAAAATAAACTTTAAAAATAAATCTTTTTTATTAGCATTAATAATAAAATATGAAACTTATGTTGCTTTATGCTTGTATATATCTAATTTGTAGAAATATATAAAGCAATCAAATAAATGTTGTATTATTTTTATATATACATATATATATATATGTAAAAATAAAAAAATATAAACATGAAGTGTATTTTTTATTAGTATATTCCCCTTCCTAAAACCACCTGGGTCCTTCTTGTTAGAGGCTACTCAATTTTTTTTTAAATCATTGTTACAACCATCTCTTAATCTTTAAATCATAGTTACAACCATTTTGACTCCCAAACAAAACAAGAAAAACAAGTCAAGTATAATACTTAGTGGGACATGATGAGGATTGAATTTCTTGTTTACAAAGAGAAGATAGGTACTGGTAGAGAGTAGCTCTACCCATACATAACTACAACATAATGTTTTATTCTTTGGAAAAAGTTTAGCAATTGTAAAGATATCTTATTTTTAGAATTTGTTTTTTTTTTCACGCTTTTTAATAAAAATTAAAAAAAAAATTAAATTACTTTTTACTATTTTTTGAACTAATGAATTTTTTTTAGTTAAATTTAAGTCAGTTATAAAATTTAAAGAAAAGTTAATTCTTAGTTTATTTAAAATCCTTATTAAAAATCTCAAAAAAAAAAAAAATGTTTCAGGAGTTCTTTAATAAAATCACATGTTCAAGTACAAATTATTTAACAGTTATAAGAGGAGAAAAATTTAAGTTATATAGAATTTTTTAAATAATTGACACTTAATTATATCTTTGAGTACTAAGATAACAATTTTTATTTGAAATCCATTCTGCCAATTTTTATTTGACATACAAAAACAGTTTTGGATCCAATTTTACTTCAAGTCAACATGCAAAGAACAAAAGTTTCAATTCCAACTTGATGCTTCAGCATGTCACAAAAAGTCTCAAATCAGAAGCAGTTAAAACTGTTACCAACACACCAATTAAGAAGCAAATAAAAATTCAAAACTAAAAATCGTTAATGAAATAGAAAAACTTTGCCTCATAAAATATATAATTTTTTTTGGTTAATTAAGACATCTAAATATCTTACAAATGTCAATAATAGAAAGTGAAAAATTATTTTGGACTGGCTGAGAATATAAAGTAACAAGAAGTTAATTAATAGAAATTTGAATAAATGAGCCTAATGTTTATCCCCTATTATATTTATATAGACAAAGTACATTACAAATAAAAGTTACTTAAAGTTTTAAATAAAAGCTACTTAAAGTTTCAAATAATTATATTTTAAAATACAATTAACCAAATAATATTATTGCACAATGACAAAACAAACTATTAGTGTTGTTATGACTATTAAATAATTTGACTATCAATTAAATTGACTAACACATTTTCTAAAGTCGACTAAAAGTTGATTTAGTTGAAATATGGGAATAATTTATTTTTTTGAAATAAATTGTCATAAAAATAATAAAGTAATTTATTTTTGCTTTCTATTTTTTAACATTAAAATATTGGAGTAAAACAAAATAAAAGGACAGCCGCTCCGACAACTGGACAATTTATTCCCAGACCGCGATGATTTAAGGACTGCCTTAAATACTTGCTATATATCAGTCTTCACAATCATATTTACAATGTGATTGTATAGATGACATTTAGATTTTGGAGCTTCACAACTTTACTTTGCCCCAGGGCCCCAAGGAGTTGAAGCGGTCCTGTATGAAAGTATTTAGGAAATTCATTGAGTAAACAAAAGAATAAAAAAAAAATACGTAACCAATAGTTTAATTAGGAATAATTTTTTTTTTTTTTTCTTTCTAGTTATTAAGATACTCCCAAAAGTCTTAGCAGTCTTTTAGCAGTCTTATTACAGAGCACTGCAAAGAAAAGTCTTAGCAGTCTTATTACAGAGCACTCCAAAGAGTCTAAATAATGCTAATATGATAATAATATGAATTAGATAAAACTTTTAGAAAGTAAATAAAATACAGGTAATAATTATAATTAGTAGTGATGTACCGATTAATCAGTATCGGCATCGGCTTAATCTGCCATTTTTTGCACAATCGGAATCGACATCGGCCTTTTTTACCGATTTTCCAACCGATGGCATTTTAATATTTTTATCCTGCATTACTATAATAATTAAATAATAAATAAACTAAAATTTGTGCATTACTTGGACAAATTATTATTTTGACTTTGTTTGCAAGCAAAGGCTTTAAAAGTAACCTGTTATCTATATATTTTTAATTCTTTTTTACTCCCAATAAGGCTTCAAGCAACCACTATCAAAATGGGAGTTGCTAGAAAAAAGTGTAGAGTTATAGAGCAATGAAGTGGTTGACAAAAGACTTTAAAAGTTGAAGGTTGTATGAGTCAGGAAAACATGAAGATGGGACAATAAAAGACAAATAAAAGTTTTTGGAGCATTCAAAGAATGAGATTTTGATGAATGATAAGTCAAGCGAGAATGAGTTTTGATGGAACTAAAGATGAAAGCTCCTTTGAGCAGCAACCATGATAGCATTTGTAGAAAAGAAAAAGACTTGCAACTTTACAATATTGGGAAAGAGGCTCAAGCTTTGCAGATAGACCAGATCCAACTCTGTTTAAAATGCATTTTTAAACCTTATCTTGAAAAGAAAAAGAGCATCATTAGAAGAACCAGCTCAAATATGATAACAGTATTCCATACAGGGACAAATAAGAGATTTGTATAGGTAGGGAATGGAATCAGGAGAAAGAAAATGGTGAGCACAATAAAAAGAAGCAACCTTAGCAGATGCTAATTTAGCAATCGATTGTATATATCGTTTCCTTAAAAAGTCAGTAGTAAATGATAATTCAAGAAGACGTAAAGAAGCAGAATCAGTGAGAGGGTTGCCATTCATCAATAGACAGTACTACAATAGTTATTTGTCTGACAGCAAGTTATTTGACTCGAGATGGAATGTGAGAAATTTGTTTATCAAAGACTCAAAAACCTTGCTAATAACAGAAAGAAGACTGATTGGACAATAATCGGAGGGGTCAATAAGTTTACCTAAGTGTTTAAAAATTAGAACAACAGATGCCATTTTCCAGCAGGCAGGAAAACAAGATTCAGTCAAGCACTTATTAAATAGTTTAGAGAAAATTGAAGATAATTCTGGAGAATAATTTTGTTAGACTGTGACAGGAATGTTGTCTGGACCACAAGCCATAGAAGAATTATAGACTGACTATGAGCAATGGAAGATATGACTATAAGCAATGGAAGCTGAAATGATTTGAATGTCTAACAATGGGTTAACTTGTTTAATTAGAATGGAAGGAAGAGAATGGCCATAAGATTCGAGAATCGGATTAGAAGAGAATTTCTTTGCAAATAGTTCAGCCTTATTTCATGTATTTAAGTATAGCCAAGTACCAAGTATATTTCTAAATTTTCAATTTTTTTATTTCAATTCACCTCCCTAAGGCCACAAAGGCCACTTCAATTGAGAAGACTACTTTAGTTATGGTTACAACCCTCTTTCAACTTTATAACTCAGAAACACAAACCTTGATGAACAATGCCTTTGTGTGTAGAAACAAGTTAAGTGCTGTACTACCAGGGACATGGTGGGGATCTAACATCACAAATTTAAATAATTCTAAAAACAATTTATTTATCTAAAAATAATTTATGTCTAAACAGCACATGATTGTTGTTTAGATATCTAAATTGCTAATAAATTGATAAAGAATTCTAAGTAAACTGAATATGCATATTTTCTTTTTTTAACATTAAAATCAAAAGCCTTCCTCTATAATTGTATTTATTTTTTTGAATTTAATTTAATTGCATTTAAGTTTTCTTTTCAAAGTAGAAAAAAAATAAAAATGTATATTTTTTTAACTAAGTTTTTCTAATATCTTTTAAAATAATTGTTTGGCTTTGATTTGAGTCCAAGTATTTGTTTACCAATACCAATTTAAAGTTTTATGGTTTTATATTTTTCTATTTTTAATATATATTAATGATCTACCAAAAGCTTCTAACCTAATGACAATTGTGTTTGCTGATGATTCTAACCTATTTCTTTCTCATAATAACATTATTACACTTTTTAGCAATATGAACATTGAACTAGTCCGAATGGTTTAAATTAAATAAACTCACTAAATATTGATAAAACTAAATGGAGTCTTTTTCATCCTTATGGTAAAAAGCACCAGCTGCCTAGCAACTTACCTTTTCTATTTATCGATATCATAGTTATTAATAGAGTTTTAGTTAGGTGTATATATCGATGAAAATCTTACATGAAAATGCCACATTGCTAACTTGTGCAGTAAAATTTCAAAGAGTATAGGCATACTATACAAAATAAGAAACGTTCTTGATAAAAATACCTTAATTAAATTATATTATTCGTTAATTCATTGCCATATCAACTATGCAAACATTGCTTGGGGTAGCACTTATAAAAGTAAACTTAAACCTCTCTATCGGCAACAGAAGCATGTAGCACGCCTTATAAATTTTAAGGACCGTTTTGCTTACGCCAAGCCTCTTTTATATGTTATGAAAGCACTCAATATATGAGTTGAATGTTTTTAATATTCTTTGTTTTAAGTATAAATGCAAGACCCACCTATCACCCGTTTCTTTTCGTAACTTGTGTTTACAAAAAGATAGAAATAAATATATTCTAAGGAACGATAACTTAATTCGACAACCACTTTCTCAAACTAATTTTGGAAAATTTTTTATTTCGTTTCGCTGACCATTTCTATGGAATAGCATAGTTCTAAATACTTCTAAAGATTTTGCTCAAGAATGTAATTTTGATTCTTATAAACAAAATCTTAAAAAACTCATTTTTTCAACTGAAAATATACTAATATACTTTTAAATTTTTGAAAATCCCTTATCTATATTAGTATATGTATATATTTAATGTACATTCTTTTTTATTTATTCATTTTTTATCAATAAGCAATTATTTAACATGTTTTATTTTAATGAATTATTTAACATGTTTTAGTTTTTACGTTTTAGAACTCTTATATTGTAATATTGTATGTTTATTTATAATACTATATTACGAACTTTATATACTTTTGTTATTAAATTTAATTTTGTAATAAAAAGAAATTGCACAAAAATAAATAAATATAAAGAATGAAAACATTGAAAAAAAAAAATTTTTAATTAAAAAAAAAAAAAGCGGTTTAATAGCGGTTTCTCTGTGACAAGACCTGATGGTCTTCTTTGAGTATTCACGTTCTTTATAATTATTTTTATTCTTTATTACTTAACAATATCTTGACTTGTTAACTTTTCTTTTTTCTTTTTTATATTATTTGTATCTGTATCATAAATATTGTAATAAAGAACAAAAAAAGAAAAAAAAAATCTAAAAACTTATATTATTTGCAATTGGAACTCTTCTTCCTCACATTTTCAGGTGTGCATTTTTCTATAGAGATTAGTTTGATTGTTTTCATTTATATTTCTTTTTCTTTTGAAGTAGAACTGAATCATCACCAGTGCTACTAGTCACCTTTCACTGATTAGGATGTCTCATATCGTTTTATCGCAACCATATAATTAACATTCCCATTAAAGTCAAACCATATTTTAAGTTCAGGTTGTAGTGAAGATCTATCTATATCAACTTCGAAATTACCTCTGATATGCAAATACTTTTTTTTTTTAATTTTTTATTTTAGTTGCCTTAAGATGTCATTACGTTCATATCACAAAGCACCGCAGAAGGAAGAAAGTTCATGTCTCCTTCCTCACCGATCTTATCGAATTTGATTAGAGATGGCATTGAACCACGGATCTCTTGCTTCTAAAGCACGCGCGCTAACCACTGCGCTAAGACTGCTATACCTGAGCTGGTTATTTTTGTAATCTTTTTGAGTGGTTTGAAGAGTATGATATGTTATACATAACTATAGTTTAATCAAACTGATGTAACAACAAATAAGGTGTGCTGTTACACAGCCAAGTCATAAATTAACAAAAACGCCCACAGCTTAGTTAACATATAGTGGGTATTCTGGCGAAAAACGTAAACTCAAAAATCCAAGTTGAGAGAAATCAATCATTTGAGTTTTCTTCCAATTTGAAACTTTTATAATCTTTTTAATTTGCATTTAGTGTTAACATTTAAATACACCATAATGTTAAGTGTTTAAGAAAATACTTATAACTTTTATTTTTTTTAATTTAAAAACATATAACCTAAATATAACTCTGTTTTATGAGTTAACATTACATGTATTTTAATAACCAGTGAAAAGATGTTTCATTCGACTTGTGTATTTAAATGTTAACACCAAATCTATTTTGCCAATTAGTAGGAGCATTGTAAACTTTACAATACTGAATCATTAAGTCAAAACTGCCAATTTTTGACTTATCGCCTTTTGCCAGTATGCCCAAAATATGCACTTTAATAAACCAGGTCAGAACCCTCAAAATAAGAAGTGTCACCGAAAATTCATCAGCCAAATATTTAGTGCTATGGCCGAATATTCAGTATTTGGCAAAACCACTATTTGTGACAACTCTAGTTATAAAAGTATACGCTTTTATTTCTAAATGAGCAAAAATAAATAAAAGATTGGAAAATCAAATAAAAAGATAAAAGGATTTTATGATTTCCACTTGACTAAATTGAGTTTTAGTCGATTAGTAGGAAGTCAATAGTCAATTAAATCGACTATTTGTTTTTCCTTAGTCAACTTTTTGACCAACTAATTTTGACTTTTGACTAGTCAACTTTTAGTCGATTTAGTCGAAGCCGACACTGCAAACTATAAAAAATAACACTACAAACTATAAATAATAACACTACATAAATAATAAAATAACTTTAAAATCAATGGAGAAAATAACATAGTTGTCAATAATGAAAGAATTTGCAATATTAACAATCAATAGTTTTTAAAACTCTTAAAAATTTTAAAACTCTTAAAAATGTTTTATAAATAAATCCATAAAACTTTGCATATTATCAAAGTTATTTTTACAAATGTTTTAAACACTCTTTGTTGTACTTCCATCCAATTTACACGCTCATTTTAATTAAGAATGTTTATAAACACGCTCATTTTAATGAAGAAAAATAATACACGCTCATTTTAATTAAGAATCCTTATAAAAGTAATAAAATATTCTGAAAATATTTAGTGCTGAGTTATTAGCACAAGAGGTTTCACAAGCTTTTAAAAGACTTTGCAAAATAGATTTTCAGGTTACTCAGGGTCTACACCTAAAATTCTTAGCTAGGTACCCAGAATCATATATTCAGCATTAACTAGTTAAAGAACATATAATTGTTGAGTGCCTTGCAAGGTATATGAAAAAGTGTAAAAAAAGTCATCATAAAAAAGTATGACAAAGTTTATTATAATATGATTAGTAAATTAGAAACAATAAACATTGGAGGTTATGACGATAGAGATTGATAGTTTTAACAGACATTAGATTGCGAAACCAGTTTCTACTGAATTTAAATTCAAAAAAATATTTTTGACAAATAACTATGACACTAATTTTAATATTCATGAATTTTATTCATAACTAAAAAATTTTATTTTCTTGTTAATGAACCTATAAATTTTAAAATCTATCATTTGCTCTAGTATAGAATATACCCTTTTTTTTAGACAATTTGGTAGGGTATAGAACAGGTATGTTCTATACCCTTTTTTTTAGACAATTTGCAAAATGTATTTCAAATGTAGTTTGGTTTGTTCTAGTAGCCTAACTTAAAACTCAATTTTTTTTTTACAAATACAGCTTTGTTTGCCGTAAGGTAGGAAAAACAAAAGACAAAAGCTTTGTTCAGAAGAACAAGCTTTTGTCTCTTTTAATAAAACTCCCAACATTTTGTCACATCATTCCCCAGTAATTGTACATGCTCAACAAACTTTTATTCATTCAGCTTTCTATTAACCACAAATTGTTAAGTACAAGTCTTCTGTTAAGCATCACCAGTCAATATTTGTACTCCTTTGTACTCTAATTCCTTTGTACTCTTTAACTTCATTTTCTTAGTCCTCTTTTTAGTGTCCAACTGCAGCTTTTTTAAAAAATTGCATAAAATAACAACCCTGAGTTATCTTTAGAATGAAAAGATGAGGAATTAAAAATCAAAATCTGAAATGATCTGAAATTTTTTTTTAAACTCTTTTTTTAAAGTATGTAAAAATCTCCTCATTGTTATAAATTAATCAACTAAACTAATATTAAAAAGCATATATATAAAACATTAAATCTTACTGGCAGCAGGTAGACCTTGAATAAGATTGTCTTTTTCTAACATTTGAACATTAGTAGCAAACTTGCTATTGGATGTTTTTAAATATCTCAAGACATCTTCAGATGTATTCTTGAAATCACTTTTAAGTGAATATTTTGGATATGATGTCAAAATAATTACTTGATCAAATAAAACACAAGCCATAACCTATAGCAAAAAAATAATAAATATATAACCTATAGTAACTATATAAATAATATTTTCATAACATTAAAATTACATACTGCAACTATTTGTAATGACTTTTTCTATCAAGTTGATAGGATTATGGGATTAGTTGATAGGAGTATGGGATTATTTATAAGATTGAATCATACTTCTAGTGACATACTTATCAAGTTGTGTGACAAAAAATAAAAATTTTTTGTTTTTTTAAATTATTATTCTCTAAGAAATTTTAGTTTAAAAAAATTATATTTTTTTAGCATTTATAATAAGAAATATGGAAATTTTTAGGAACTTTATTAAGTTGTTTAATTTATTTTCTATAAAATATCCATTATTTTTTTTATTTAAATATGATTTAGATTAAAAAAAAATAATTTGCAAGCTAAATGGTATTCACTTACGAAAGCCTTAGATGATATATCGAAGACACTTTAACCACATCTAAATTGTTTTATATCAGAGATAAAGAATTTTCTTCCTACTATTTAAACTACCTTCATGATCACTTATCTCAGTTAAAAAGAGCCTTATCTCAGTTAAAAAGAACCTTATCTCACTTAAAAATATATATGAAATATGAATATAGCTAATTATAAGTCTAAATTATAAATAAAATATATTTGATTAAAATTTCTTACGCCTAAAATCATTTATACAAAATTTAGACCAGAAATTTGTTTTCTAACAACAGATTTAAGTAGTTAACAGAATAAAATCGTTGAGTAGCAAAGTACAAAAAATTTTTTTTAATAGACTATTAAATGAAAGTAGAAGTCATTTATAGTGATGATGATATTTTAATGGATTATAATCTGAAAATAACTATATAATAAAAATATATAGTATCTTTATCAAAAAACAGTATATTTATATAGCAAAAATATATGTTTAGGTATATAAAAGATGCATATACTTAGGCTTGTTCAACATGAAAGTTTTCAGTTTTGTTTAAACAATCCTATTACTAAATATTGTTCAATAATTATTTATTTTTTTGTTAAAGAATTAATACATTTAAAAATTAAACTTCATTTCATCTTTTTATTTTGCTCAAAATGAAATTCTTTATATTCAAGTGCTGCATTAAAAATGTGTGCAAAATATGCAATAGGCTTGTTTCAATAAAATGTGTGTGAAATGCATATATATGCTAATTTTAATACATGCTTTATTTGTGTGAATACATTAAAATATGCTTGTTTTAAAAAAAATGTAGACCCTTAACTTTTTTCACTGCTTTTCAAACTCATGTAAAACTTAACTCCAAGAGAATTCACAACTTTCACTCATTGGTTGCTATGTGCATTACTTTTTAACTATTTAATTACATTTAAATATAAACTTCAGTAAAGTTAAAATAATGATAAATTGAGACATAAGTGCATTTTTATTGCTACTCCATTTTTAAATGTAAAAAGAACTTTTACTTACTTAAAACTAAAAAAAAATAGTAAAACTTTATTTTTTACAATTAAAAAAAAAAAAGCAATTTGTATTAAAAGCAACTTATATAAAAAAAATAAAAATATCAAAGTTTTGTCTAAATATTTATTACTTTTTCATTTTAAAATGTTCACAACATTTTAAAATAGAGTTACAACAAATGATACAAAATGAATTTACAATTGTATATATGTTTATCTGATATAGCATCATTTTGAAATAAAATTATTTTAACAACACAACATTATCACTTTTTTTATTTGCATTTAAAGAATGGTAATATGAAATGATAGAAATTCTATACCTTTAACCTTTGGACCCTTTCTGTTTTCTGAAAGGGCTGATTTTTGAACACTAGTTAGATCACTTTTTGAGAGTTAATGATTCAAAATATTTTTTGTGAACAACACCCTCTCAGTTTTTTTAAACTATTGAAATTAGGATCAAGTATTCTTTCCAAAACGCATAGCAAAGGGGCAGTTTTCACATTATGAAATCATTTTATTTAAAGTAAAGCCCCAAATTCATAAGTGGTTTTGAATTATGATATTTAGACAATGGCAGGATTGTCCTCCTGTTTATTTTTTTTCTAATATGAAGAGAACCTTGCAGATTTCTTCTAAACTTAGTTTTAAAATCTCCAACAGTGAAACAGTGACTTTCCAAAAATTAAAAAGCCAAAAGTTTGACTG